AATCACACACATATATATATATATATATATATATATATATATATATATATATATATATATATAAAATGCTGTGAGCTGCATAGTAACAATAAATCAAGTTCTTGCTGGCTTTTGGCTTTTCTTTAAAAAAACCCCCCAAAAAAACAGGTGCCATGTCAGATAAATTTTATGGTGCGAGATGAATATCTCAAACAATTCTAAATGAAATGGCACACAAAATGGAAGACAATATAAGGAGTGATTAATCTTGTCATGCTCTCACTATTCCTTGTTTGTAAAATATTGCACAGAAACATAAAAAACATGGGGTGGGGAGAAACACGTTCAATCTACTTAATATTCATGAATGAATAATAAACAAATACAACATTACTGATGTTTAAAGACCACGGCCGCTCAGTACGGGGCAAACTTCTGCCGCTCAGATTTTTTGATGTTGGACGAGATGGGGAACTTTGCGGTGTAGGGGGTGAAGCCGGCCGGGAGGCCTGCGGAGGTGGCTGTGTGCACTGCCAGCAGGGGGACGGTTTTCATGCCAAGCAGGCTGGAAACAGGAAATGCATAGTGGGCGCTGGGGATGGAGGGGACGGACGAGGGGGAGTGGACGTTAATAGCAGAGGGGGGAGCAGCCAGGACGGCCATGGAAGAGGCAGTAGAGGCGGAGATGGAGGGGGTGGACTGGGAGAAGCCCAGGCTGAGGTCGAAAGGTGTGCTGGAAGAGGAGGATGACGCAGCCTGGATGCTCAGTTTAGCCATCTCTAAACTGAAAACACACATTCAGATGCACGCAAACAATGAGGGGTGTGAGGACAAGTGTGGGGTTAATAGAGGGGTTACGGTGCACACAAGAGGAGAGAGGGGGGTGAGAGAAATAGAGAAAAGAATAATCAATTTAGGGAATGTTATGTGTTACAAGAAGGAATAATAATAAGGGTTTAACATGCCTGGATGAGAATTAATAAAGGAGTGCCAAATGGGTGAGATGACTGCTGTCTAATTCCTAAGCATTACACCATTACATAAAACAGATTGTGGGAAAGGAATAGTTCATCCAAAAATTTAAGTTTTGTCATCATGTTTACTTGCTCTGGTAATTTTTTTTCTTCTGTAAAACACAAAAGGAGAAAACACTGTTGTAGAATGTTCTGGCTGCTCTTACCCAGCTTGCACTGTATTCCAAGACAGATATTTAGAAAGTTTCATATTAAAGGGGTCATATGATGCAATTTCAAAGTTTCCTTTCTATTTGGAGTGTTGCAAGCTGTTCGTACATAGATAAGATCCCTAAAGTTGCAAAGACTAAAGTCATAAACCCAAAGAGATATTCTTTTTAAAAGAAAAGAAAAGAATGTCTATGTCACTGTGTGGGAAGATTTGCATAACACCGCCCAAATGTTCACGCAAAGAAAGAAGGCGTAACTTTTATTCTGGCTGTAGTATTGTTGTTGCCGCTGCCTCCATGTCGTGAAGATGCTGTGTGTTTCGTTGTGAAAGAGAAACTACTTTGTTTGGCCTTCCAAAAATGGACACGACTAGAAATCAGTGGTTAAGTTGTATTTACAACACTGTTCCAGAACAGTTCAACCCAAATATTCAGATGTGTGCAGCGCATTTTATGGAGGACCGTTTCATGATCCTGGTAGAGTAGCCTACAATGCGTCTGTGCACAATGGCTGTTTCTATAAAATGGGGCAGTTCCAACTTTGCAAGGACAGTCTGGCGCTTCTGACTCACAGCCTGTAAGTAAGTTTTTTATATATAAAGAATTTGCCACTGATGATTCAAACGCGAGTTTTGAGCAGTGTAGAGTAGCGCTTGTTGTTTATCATTTCTCCGATCACAAATGCAGATATGGTTTTATGTTTACACAGCGCGATACGCAACGCAATGCATAAAAAGACAGTATAAATCATTATAATCCGTAATTATGTCCCCACTGGATGCAACAAATGCCTCATTTATAATTGAAAGCTGAATACATAAGCTTTCCATTGATGTATGGTTTGTTAGGATAGGACAATATTTGGCTGGCAACTATTTGAAAATCTGGAATATGAGGGATGCAAAAAAATATTGAGTAAGGCATTTACAAAATATCTTCATGGAACATAATCTTTACTTAATATCCTAATGATAATATTATTACAGCTTAATATGTTTTCTATTTTAAAATGTAATTTATTCCTGTGATGCAAAGCTGAATTTTTAGCATAATTACTCCAATCTTCAGTGTCACATGATCCTTCAGAAATCTTTCTAATATGCTGATTTACTTCTCAATTTCTTTTTATTATCAATTTTCGTGCTTCTAAATATTTTTGTGGAAACTGTGATTAATTATTTTTTTGCAGGATTCTTGCAAAAGGTTTTTCTTGAGAAAAGGTTTACAATAACATGATTTATTGATTTTTGTTTTGTTAATTAAAGGGGCCCTATTATGCTTTTTCACTTTTTCAACTTTAGTTAGTCTGTAATGTTGCTGTTTGAGCATAAAAAAGATCTGCGAAGTTACAAAGCTCAAAGTCCACTTCAAAAGGAGAAATTTTATTGAACAGAAATCACTTTTCAAAAAATACAACGAACGACTCGTTTGGACTACAACGCATATTTTCCAGGATTTGTGATATCACAAATATTGACGAATGGGACGAGACCTGGTTGAGCTTCACTAGAGAAGGCAATGAGCATTATCACTATGTCAGAGACGCGCTAGTTTCCCCAAGGCAGACGAACTTAGAGTCATTACAGTCATTCGGGTTTAAATCGCGCTCAAATTGATTTGATTTTGACGCAATATTTACACTGAAGCTCACAGGCGGCTATGGCAAGGGGCATGACATTTTCCAACCAGGCGCCGAGTGCTACCAATCACAACACACACTGGCCCAGCTAACCAATCACAGCACATTTCGTATTTCAGAAGGTGGGCCTTCATTTGATACAGGAACTATTCGAGCTGTTCATGCCAGACTGGGGAGAGAGGTGTTGTAATAATGTAAAATATGAGAAAATAAATGTGTTTTTCGAACAACCTAGTATGAGAGCCTGTTCTAGTACACTCCCAAAACAAAATCAAGACTTTGTAAAAGAGCATAATAGGACTTTAGTGTCACTATCAATTTTGATTGTGTCCTTGGAGAATAAAAGTATTAATTTCTTTATTTTTTTTACTGTACTGTAGTGCATAGGGGCTAGTTTTATGCTGCTTTTATAATTTGTCTTTTCTGAAGTTTAACAGACATGATCACTATGAACTGTATGGCATTGTATGGAAAAGAGCTGCATGAACATTCTTCAAAAATTCTCCCTTCAATTTCCACCAAAGAAAAGCAGCATATGGGTTTGGAATGACATGAGGGTAAGTAAATGATGACAGAATTTCAGTTTTGACTGAACTATGCTTTAACATGTGAGAGGGAAAGGTCTTACCTCGCACTGATGAGGTACTGAGCCACGCTGATGTTGGCTGGGGAGCCTGTGATGGTGACGTGGCGCACTGCCGAACCGTCTGTAGCCCCGGCAATTTTGATCTGGGCACCAGACATCTGGCGAATCTCATTGATCTTACTGCCCTGTCTGCCAATGATGCAGCCTATGAGCTGAGAGACAGACGGGTGAGGGGCAAACAACATCTGGACATTAAAAGTCTAAGGAGGCTGAGCGTAAACCTCTAGGACATGGAAGTTGTTCTTCTCTACTGTATGGCATGCCTTGAATGTTACTAAATAGATTCTACAAGTGGGTGCTGAATAACAGATTACTTTAATACATGATCAGAGTAACATTGTGTCAGTGTAATGATAGCAAATCATAAAAAAAATCGTAAATTATTTAAAATACACCCCAAACTGTATGAATGTCATTGCAATACATACAAAATATCAAGCCAATTGGCATGTATTTCAAAGTTAAGGCAAGCAAAAATATGGTTTCAAATTAAATATTCCAGTACATTCAAAGTATTGGTTTAAAAACATCGTATAAAATTAAAATTAAATAAATGCAAAGCAAATAATAATAATAAAATAATAATAAAAATCTAAAATGATTGTAAAAACAAAGTAAATACATAATTGTTTGGTGTTGGATGGTTTGGTCTTTGGAAGGATTCACATCTCAGATTTGTTTTTATGTTACTATTAGTACAAGCAAGTAAACATTGCAGAAGTTTTTCTGCTGCACCTTTGGTTCTTCGTAAATAAAAAGTTGTCTCGGTGCCTCAAACTGAGAATCAGTATGCATCTTGTTTTCTGTCAGCTGTGCATGAGAATCAACAAGCTGCAGATATGTTTCCCAAGACTATTATCCTTGTATAGATATAGATGCAGCATTCTTATTTTAGATGGAAATCTAAACTCTGGTAATAAAATGTAAAAATACACTACCTTTTTTGGGGGGGAAAGAAAGAAAAAAATATTACTTGCATTCAGCAAGGATGCATTAAATTGACAAAAGTGACAGTATAGACTTCTACAGTGTTAGAAAAAACTGTTTCAAATAAATGCACTTTTGAACTTACAATTCATCAAGGAAAAAAATCACTTTTCAAAACTGATAATAAGAAATGTTTCTTGAGCAGCATATCAGAATGATTTCTGAAGGATCATGTGATACTGAAAACTGGAGTAATGATGCTGAAATTGATCTTTGCATCACAGGAATACATTTTATTTTAAAATATATTAAAACAGTTATTTTAAATCGTAGTAATATTTCAAAATATTACTGTTTTATTGTTTTTCTGTATCAGATAAATGCAGCCTTGGTAAACATCATAAGATGCTTACAAAATCAATTAAAAAATCTTTTTGACACCATATTTTTGAACAATATTATGCATTTGAAAATATGGCATAATTTGTCATTCTTAGCTTATTAATAATTTTCACTTTTATTTGATCTAATGACATTCATATAGTTTAAGTGTGACTTACTTTTTGGGGTCAGTGTAGACAGCCATAACAGCATTTCATTTAACATTAACTGCAACAGACATTGTGTCTAATAAAAGTGAATTGTATTATTTTAAGTGAAATGTATGATTATGACATATAATATAACTTACATCATTAGGTATGCTCAGCTCATGAGAACTGGTTGCAATAGAGGCCTCCAGACCTATGCAGGGAAATGGGAAGTTAAGCAATACACAACTCATCAGCTGAAAAAAAAGAAACATTTTGTCATCGCTACACTGCCACTGAGTGTGCTCAAATAAGTCGAAAAAATATCACATTAAAATGACACAATGTACGAAAGCATTAAGGCTGCTATGCGGGTGAGTCATGAATGAATTCCTGCTTAATTCATGTCTGCCTGAGATTCAAAAACACCCATAAAAGCATTTCCAAATAGCGCACATTATCGGAAACGTCTGTGGAGAGGCTGTCGCTCTTCAACTCCTTATTTCCATGGTAATAATTATGGGCTGGCACTTGCAATGTGTGGACTCTGTTTGTCATGATAAATGTGGGCTGCTGTGAGAGTGGGCTTCAGGTTTGCTTAGGAAAATGCTGCCGGTTTGAACAGGTCAGAGGGTTTTGTGCAGGACATGAGGGGGGAAGAATTTTAAACGAGTGAAAGCCTTTGTGATGAGTTCACATATAAGGAGAGACTGAGGGGTGACACATATGCATCACATAGCCGGCATGATGCTGTTGTTATGGTGACATGACACATTTGGAGATTTCTAGACAGCTCAAAGGAGCCGTCGGCCGTCGGCTGGCATCCGAACACAAACTATCTAGAGCTATCAGGACTGGTTAGTGGTTGTATCATGGCACAGCATGTGCAGCATTATGTTGGCAGTGTTATGATATTTATTACCTTACCACAAAAACAGCTTCGCCATCATTTTCTTCAGAGTGGAAAAGTATAACATGCGGTGGTGAATGCATGAGACGGAGGTGGTCAGACACGAGGTGGTCAGAGACAGATCGAGAGAAAGACAGGCAGAGAGACAGACAAAGGGAGAGACAGACTTCCCTGGGGAGCTCTGGGTACGTACCAGGGAAGGTGGGGTTGCTCTGCCCAAGGGAGGTAAGGGGGATATGCTGCATAGCCAACTGGTGAAGCTTGGTCAACTGCGGGGGCAGGAAGGGAGGTTAGAACTAGCCAATCAAAATGGAATTATTTCAGAGGACACTCACATCTACAGACAGAACAGCACCCATATCAAGTCTCAAAGTTAGGTTAGGTATCAGGTCCCCTTTTGGACTTATCGTCCACTTCAAGGTGATCAAAAAACTAGATTTGCATTTCCTTAAGGGGGAATTCGAGTGTTTGCGAGGCAGGAAAAATTCGTATTTAAGCTTGAGATGTTGTTTGGTTCTTAGTATGTGAAATGAATCATCCGATCTGCAGTTGGCATGACACACGTTGGGTTTTCTGCCTGATGTCTGTGAGAATTGACAGACGACGTGACACCGCCTTTGCAGTGCAGAGGCAGCGCTACATGTACAGTATGCAAATTGATGTAAGAAATAACACCAATCATAATTCCGTACAGTATGCAAACGTTGTGATTACACCATCACATTTGCTTATAATTTTAATGCTGAACCTTCTATCATTTATATATTTTAATACCTGCAATTTTATTGTATATATTGCACTGACTTTAAAGGGATAGTTCCTAAGACCTTTGTTCATTTTCAAAACACAAGTTAAGATATTTTTGATGAAATCTGAGAGCTTTCTGACCCTGCATAGACAGCAATGAAACTACCACGTTGAAGCCCTAGAAAGGCAGTAAGGACATCGTTAAAATAGTCCATGTGATATCAGTGTTCAATCTTAATTTTCTGAAGCTACGAGAATACTTATTGTGCACAAAGACACGTGGTAGTTGCATTGTTGTCAGCAGTAGCCTTGTGGGCAGCGTGCCAACATATCACACCTTTGTGCTACTGACATCCCAAGTTCGAATCCAGGTTTGAGGACCTTCCCCGATCTTGCCCCCCTACACTATCTCCTCTACACTGGCCTATCATAATAAAGTTAAAAATGCCAAAAATAAAAGCTCTCGGATTTCTCAAAAATATCTTAATTTGTGTTCCAAAGATGAGCAAAGGTCTTACGGGTTTGGAACGACAAGAGGGTGAGTAATTAATGACAGAATTTTTGGGTGAACCAACCCTTTAAATCTCACAAGTGCAACTTTATCACAATATGGTTATATCTCACAGTGACTTTATATATCACAATTGCAACTTTGTTTTTCATACCTACGGCTTCACTGTATATCTCGCATTGACTTTAAATCTTGCAATTGCAACATTACTGTATATGTCACAATGTGACTATGTGGTTGGGATTTGGCCACAGGCACGAGGCTGAATCAGAAATTGGCTTCCACAGAATGGAGTCTGTATGGTGAATGGTTTAACAGAGATTGCCTGTATGGTGAACTGGAATTCATTTTAGAAGTTTACTACATAGGAGTTGAAAAAACTTTACCCTAATGTTTAAGGTTCTGTCAATAAAGTGCTGCCTTGCAACCTTTGTAATTATAGCATTCACGTTTGAATGATTCTGTTAACTAATTGTGTTTACTTGTGTCTTAACCAGAGATATGAAATAACCAAGGACTAACAAGTGTTAGTGATACTAAATATTAAAGAAGCGATCATAGGCAGAGACCATATCGGGGATATCGGCACTTAGGTGTGTGTGTGTGTGAGGAATGCAGTGGAAGAATTGTGATTGTGTAAAAGGTGGGATGTGGCTGGGGTACTGCAGTGGTGTTGTGAAGTGTGCTGTGAATGATACTGATCAGCCAGTATGACTAACACTCACGTCTTGGGGTGGAATGGCAAACTGTCCTGGAATAGCAAATGCCTGTGGAACAGATAACATGTTTAGGTTAGAACAAATAACAAGCGCTTATTTGCAGCTTGGTCATTAGATGACATTGCCTGCCCATGGACCACCCACAGTCCATTCTATGCATATTTCATTAAAACCTAGAAAGCTTTTATGAAAATCGCAAGCTCAAAACAGTTGGCTTAAATGCAATGCAAATTGTAACATTTGGGGTTAGCAGGATTTTATCAAATAAAATAGCATTTAAAACAAGTTGATAATATTACAAGTTGATTATATTAACACGTTTGAGGATTTGCTAAGTTAGTGGCTTTAAATCTTGTTAGCAATACTTAGTAGTATGTAGTTATCCACAAGCAAAACTATTTTGCTGTGTGAAGTAATCAATAATTTGCTCATCCACTTTCCTTTATTAAGGGAAATTTCAGTGGCATTTTTCAAATTAGTTTTTTTAGATGAGTCAGTAGTTGTTATGATTAATTTCATACAAAATTCGCCCCTAAAGAACACGTAAAACAAAACAAACAGCATTCGGCTTCTTTGTTCATGTTAAAGCGGGTGGCTCTCAACCAGAATAAGCTGCAAAGTGGACCAGACTTTACACCGCAAATCAAAGTTTGTCTACTTGAGACTACTTTGTCAATAACATGTTGTTATAATTCCACAGCCAGGTTTCCGCCTTATGACTGAAATATGTCAAGCTCTTCTTAATATAACCACGAGGGGGCATCACATGAACATCCCATGCTATCATCAAACATGGCAAAAAAAATAAAAAAAATACAGAACTAAACTACTTCTTAGCATTTTAATCCTCCAGAGAGCTTGTAGCTGACATGATTTTTCATTATACGGACAACTAGCCTTTGCATTTCTCACCTTAGTCAAACTAAATGTCATGATCACTCAAATGAGCAACAGAAGCCCTTTGGACAACATACCAAGAGGAGATATCAAAATTAAAGGGTCAAAGCTTTGATTACATGCCCTTACGAGTATGTATTTCATAAAATCAGAACAATAGAATAGAATGGAATACTGATGGATGAATGAATTGTTTAGTCCAGCTATACATAGCTGTATTTATGATTAGTCAAGCTTTCCAATTCAAACACCTACAGATCTAAATTAGTGATTCAAAGCGAGTCTGATCTGCATGTTTAAGAGCACTTGGCATGGTCCAATTGCCCAAATGGTGACTGTATTACTGATTGGATCTGGGGGGGGGGAGATTTATTCCACCAGCTGATCTCAGTCTAATCATTAGCGTAAATATCCACACTTAGAGCGTCCCACTGGGACTGAGGGGAACTATGGAATCGTTAATGCTCATGAAGGGTTTCGATTGTATGGTTCGGTTTCTACATTAAGAGATGGATGGAGAACTCACCGACGCAGCATGGGGTTGTGCCAACACTGTGTGGCTGCCACCCGCGGTGGGTTTGGGTCGGTATGGAATGGTGGCTCCTTTAGGTGGCGACTAAATGAGAGAGACAAGCACAGTCAGGACAAAAGCGAAGGCGTTTAGGCAGTATGTGTCTAGAACTCTGTTAAGCCTCACTGGATTTTACTGTTCAAAGCCCAATGTTAATGCGGGCCAGGGAAAATCCTGCAAAACAAAGGCATCCAAGGTTGGATGCTGGGAACTAATGAAGCAAACAGGAACATTTAACATGTAGTCCATGCGCTGAAAGTGAATGCAAATGAAGTGTGAAGGTGAAAAAGACCTGAAAAATATTCCCCACTTGAAATAACATTTAAGCACAAGGGAAATCGTGCATAATCATACATTTTTTAATTAAAACGCATACGCGCTCTCACGTGCACGCTCACGAACCTCCAGCATGATGGTGCAGATGTGTTTCACGCATTGTGTGATGGCACGAGGGGTGCCTGAGATGGTCACGGCTCTCTCAGTCGAGTCAGGCAGTAGGTCTCCTGCCACCTGGACCTGGGCACCTGTGCTCTGTCATACAGCAATGCTTTTAGTCAACACACGCTGGACGGGCTGATTAGAAAAGCCACAAATGACATTCATATTTCTTTCAGTAGTGACATTTAAAAGGATAAGGTCACTTCACATCCACATTCCTGGTCACCCTGTCTGCCTGGGTTTATTTTGCAATAATGAGCGAATGATGGTACATTATATTGCTTATTACACAGCTACTCGCCAGTTAAATGAATGTGCATGAATTATTGATTTTAATAAGAATTACCTGCACTCTTAAAATCAAGGGATCCAAAAGGGAGTTTTTGCAGTGATGCCATATTGACCAATCACATTCACTTGTTCCAGAGAGCTGTGCAATAATTTATTTAATGATCGCTTACCTAATGATCGTAGGTAAGTATCATTTTAAATGCCAGTGTCTATATTACGCATATTAACTGCAATACAACCACTAATTATCAATTAACATTTTTCATAAAGTTTGAAAAGTTTCCTATCTGAGCACTGAGGAGATAGTAAGATTACAAATTCTGATTTCTTTCCAAGCGACTAGCAAAAAGTGTGCCACACTGTCCCTTTTGTATTACATCTATTCTCATGCTGACATTGTTATCATCTGGCCAGTTATTTAGGTCAAGCTATTTGGATACTGTATATAAATATTAGTCTATTTAGGCCTTGGTGGGTCGTCCTGTCCTAGACATTCATAGCAACTGGGAATAAAAGCAGCCAGTTCACCCCTCACAGCCCTCAGTGGCGAGGACAGCTATATTTATTCAATGTGATCCACCAGCCAAATAAAAAACAAAGCCTTCAAGCAAAAGTCACTGTCCTCATGTCAATTTCAACAGCTAAATGACAACGAATGGTTCCGCTTTTGAGATGAATCGCTTTGTTTTCCATCAACGAAAGCCATGAATAGATAAGTTTGAGGAAAAGTGAGCAAGTTCAAGAGTTTAGGAAATTACAGCTCAGGGCTGTCTCATAACGTGTGGATTTAGTGGAAGCCTGAGTCGATTGGGCCCCTGTGCTCAGGAATAAAAAGTTCTATCTTGATGAGGACAATCAATCATGCTGATGTTAAGTGTTTTTGCTGCCACTGAGACAACGGAAACTAATTGTTTAACGGATCATTCCGTGCATCATCTGGGAGCCGCTGTGACCTGCATTACAAACCCTGCGCATTTGCCAACAATTAAACTTCTACCTAGAATATCTACCTCTCTGATCTCTTTGATCTTCGAGCCTCCTTTGCCAATGAGTGAACCGCACTGACTGGCGGGGAAGACGAGGCGCAGTGTCACAGGAGGCCTGCTTGTCACGGTGCTGTTTATCATAGATGCCAGGATATCCTGAAAGAGATGCATATGCATCAGAAAGAAGCTCAATTCAGCTCGTGTCAAGTCAGTGTCATTTTTTCATAAAGGAGGGAGAAAAACTTGCAGGAATACAAGTTGACAGTTTTTTTTAATGAAATAAAATACTGACTAGGTAATGCTGTGTTATATAAAATGTTTAAAAAAAAATCTAATTATATATATATTTATATATAAATTATATATTTTCTTTTTAATATTACACAGCACAGCAAATTACCTAGTGTGTATTTAGCCAAAGAAAACGATGATACTGTGTGTGTGTATATATATATATATATATATATATATATATATATATAATAGGTCTTAAAAATTTTT